AGAATGTTCTTAATGGAAGGGCAGGACTCCTGTCAACAAGAACTCATTTACTATGATAAAAAACACAGCAGTATTTATATTCTTATTTAGACATTTTTTTTTCCAAAAGCAAGAAGATACTATTTTCTTTTGAAAGTAAAGCTCACCACAACTCTAAGAAAAAAAGAAACATAAATGAGAAAACTGGGGACAATGTCATCTTTGATTTTAAGTTCCTTGGATATTGTTACAAGAAAACTATGGATGAACAATCATATCATTTTAACCGCTGAGAAATCCAACATAAATGAGGTAACAGGAGACTTGCATAAAGTTTCATGAAATAGATTGCACGCCATTAACATTCCTATGAAGAACTGCAAAAAATTGGCTTCCTTTTCCCTTGCAAAATACATTTTCTCAGATTCCGTAGAAATAGCCATGCAGCATGAAGAATTCTAATTTCTAAGACAACTGTGAAATACTTCTTACTGTCAAATTTCATCCCGTGCTATTCATAATCATGAAATCCCATATTTTTCAGAAGAGTTCTTTCACAGAAGATAATTTGCCAAACTTTTAACGAAAATCAGACAGAAGCCTCCGGAGTTACCAGAATTTCTGTTCCATATATAAAAGAAAATTATTTTCCAAATTTAGTCATGTGAGTGTCAGGGGGTCAGGAAAAATCCTTAAGCCGTAATGGCAACGTATTACGAGCTCTAACACAGATGTAACTATGTCACCGCCAATCGCACATGTATTCAGTATACTTTAGATCAGAGGCAAAGATCTAGGAAACACCGAAAAGATTATCGAGGAATTGAACATATCTGGAAAACCCTAGATCAGATCGTGCTGTTGTTGCTAATAGCAACGTCATTAGATTCCAAAGGTAAAGTAAAATTAGACGAATTCCAGTATGTAATTATAGACTAAACGGAGTGATCGCAGGCTCCAATACGTGTAACTTGACAAGTGAGAGTGGAGACGATGAGAGAGCATTACATATAGAGGGAGATAGAGCCCTGACCATATTTAGTAATCTACGATGGAGAAATCTCGGCAGTTTTGGAAACTGCGGATCACTCGGTCTCTCTCACGCACGGTGCAAAAAAATACTCCCCTATCTGGGAGTGCGCTGGCAGCATAGCAAGATTGCAAAATCAGGAGTTGTTATTTTTGCTTACTGATGGGAACAGGGCGGGTTCCTCGCGCCCCACCCGCTTTAGACGGGGCGGCGAGGGGCGGGTGCTGGGCGCGAGCCTGCGCCGTTTGTTTTTTTAAATTTTCAGTTAAAATAAATATTCAAAATTTTAAAATTTAAAACAAATAATGTTCAAACTAATTACATCAATATCCAAAACAAGCACTCGAAACAAAAAATGTCCAAAACAATTTTTTTTTAATTCTTTACG